GGGTCTCCATGCCGGAGACCTCCCCAGCTTTGCTGTGGACGAGGAAGGTTGGCGATGCGTCTGCGTTCCGTGTCTGGGGATCTCGGGCGTTTGTCCGCGACTTGTCTGCGGACAAGCTGTCCCCTCGTGCTGCTCCTTGCGTCTTCCTTGGCTTCCCCCCTGACGCGCCAGGGTGGCAGTTCTACCACCCCACCTCTCGCCGTGTTCTGTCCTCCCAGGACGTCACGTTTGACGAGTCGGTCCCCTACTACCGCCTCTTCCCCTACCGCACTCCGTCCCTCCCCCCGCCACCGCTCTTCCTTGTGCCAGGTCCCCCCCCGGTAGACCCCCTCCCCCCTCAGGGTCCTGCCTCTTCAGGTGTGTCCCAGGTAGACGCCGTCGAGCCTGTCGAGGTTACTGGTGACTCTGGTGCTGCTAAGGGTGCTGAGCCTGGGGGTGCTGACTCTGGGGGTGCTGAGCGTGTGGGTGCTACGCCTGGGGGTGCTGAGCCTGAGGGTGCTACTCCTGGGGGTGCTGAGCCTGGGGGTGCTGAGCCTGGGGGTGCTACTACTGGGGGTGCTGAGCCTGGGGGTGCTGAGCCTGGGGGTGCTGAGCCTAGGGGTGCTACGCCTGGAGGTGCTGAGTCTGGGGGTGCGGAGCCTGAGGGAGCTGGGCCTGCTCGTGTGGCGTCTGGCGGTGCTGAGCCTGGAGGTTCTCCGGGTGCTTCGTCTCGGCGGGAGCCACTCTCTCCACAGGAGCTGCGCGAGTGGTTTGCCCGGCGCTGGAGGCGTGCTGCTGGAGCTGGAGGTTCTTCGGCTGCTGAGGGTGCTGGTGCCGCGGGTCCCGGAGGTGCTCGTACTGGGAGTACTGGAGCTGCTGGGCCTGCGGGTACGACTGGAGCTGGAGCTGCTGAGGGTGTTGACGCTGAGGCTACTGCTGTCGGTCCTGGAGGCGGTCCTGCTGGGGGTGCTACTGGTGCTGCTGGAGGTACTGGAGCTGGACGTGCTGCTGGCGCTGGTGCTGCCGCTGGGGGTACTGGTGCTGTCCCTGCCGTGTCTGGAGTCGCCGCGCGGCCTCGGCCGTACTTCGTTCCGCTCCTTCAGCAGGTTCTTGGTCTCCCGCCTTCTACTGGTCCTCCTCCTCCCTTAGAGTGTCCACAGCCCGTCCCGTCACAGTTCCAGTTACAGCCGGCCTCCCCACTGCCCGCTCCTTCTCCCTACACTGGTCCTACTGGAGGTCTGGCTGAGCGTCGTGAGCCTGCGTCTCGCCCTGCGTCGCCTGTCCGTCCTACTCGCTCTAGTGGTCGTGGTTCGCGTCAGCGTCCTCCTCCTGTCCCTGGCACGCACCGGATGTCTCTGCGTCCGTCCACTGCTCCTCTGCGTGCCCCTTTGCCTTCTCCTCCTGAGTCCTCTCTTCCTGCTCTTCCCGACCCGGAGTCGGACTCTCTTCGTGCTGCCAGTCCTACTGTCACGCGTCTCCTTGCTACTGTCGTCACTGACCCTTCTTTTGAGTCCACTGCTGCGTCTGCCCTAGTTGCTGAGCTCGTCGACTTTGCTGCTCGCTGTCGTGTAGACTACGCTGCTAGTCTTGTCGTTGAGTCTGAGTCTGTCTGTCCTCCGTCCGTCGGGGGTGAGTGTGCCCTTGGCACGGACGTCCTTGAGGACAGGCAGGAGGAGTTCCAGTGTTTGGCTGCTGCTTCACCTCATCTCGTGTCCGTACTGCTTACCACCCGGATGCACTTGACATCCCGACTCTGCGCTCTTACGCGGAGGCGATAGAGGGTCCCTACTCCTCTCAGTGGCAGGCAGCTATGGACACAGAGATGGCTTCCTGGAAGTCCACAGGCACCTACGTTGACGAGGTTCCCCCGCCTGGGGCGAACATCGTCAGTGGCATGTGGATTTTCAGGGTGAAGCGACCGCCGGGTTCTCCGCCTGTCTTCAAGGCGCGTTACGTGGCTCGTGGCTTCAGTCAGCGGCAGGGAGTTGACTACTTTCAGACCTTCTCTCCCACCCCGAAGATGACCACTCTTCGGGTACTGCTGCACATAGCTGCTCACCGCGACTACGAGCTGCACTCTCTTGACTTCAGCACTGCTTTCTTGCAGGGCAGCCTGCACGAGGAGATCTGGCTGCGTCGCCCACCTGGCTTCACTGGGTCTTTTCCTCCTGGCACCCAGTGGAGCCTCCGGCGGCCAGTCTACGGTCTCCGCCAGGCACCGCGTGAGTGGCACGACACACTGAGGACTACACTTGCGGCTCTTGGGTTTGCTCCCTCTACTGCCGACCCGTCGCTGTTTCTGCGCACCGACGCTTCTTTGCCGCCGTTCTACATCCTCGTGTACGTCGACGACTTGGTCTTTGCCACAGCTGACACTGCTGGACTCGCCCACGTGAAGTCCGAGCTGCAGAAGAGACACACGTGCACAGACCTGGGTGAACTGCGCAGCTACCTTGGCTTGCAGATCACCCGGGACAGAGCACGCCGCACCATTACCCTGACTCAGTCACACATGGTGCAGCAGGTCCTTCAGCGCTTCGGCTTCACGTACTCCTCGCCTCAGGCCACTCCTCTGCCTACTCGCCACTCGCTCTCAGCTCTGCCTTCGGATGAGTCCGTAGAGTCGAGTGGCCCGTACCCAGAGCTTGTTGGCTGCCTCATGTACCTGATGACCTGCACACGACCTGACCTTGCATACCCTCTTAGCATTCTCGCACGCTATGTTGCTCCTGGGAGACACAGACCGGAGCACATGGCTGCAGCGAAGAGGGTGTTGCGTTACTTGTGCAGTACGTCGGGCATGGGGCTTGTGCTTGGAGGGCAGAGTCCAGTGGTCCTCACTGGGCACGCAGACGCTTCTTGGGCTGACGACCAGGCTACGCAGCGGTCGTCACAGGGTTACACCTTCAGCCTTGGTTCCGGCTCTGTTTCGTGGCGGGCTACCCGCTCGTCTTCTGTTCTCGGCTCCAGTTGTGAGGCTGAGATCTACGCCGGGGCCATGGCTGCACAGGAGCTTCGCTGGCTCACCTACCTGCTGACTGACCTCGGAGAGCCGCCTCGTTCTCCTCCAGTGCTGTACGTAGACAACAAGGCCATGCTGGCCTTGTGTCGAGAGCAGAGACTGGAGCACAGAACGAAGCACATTGCTCTCCGCTACTTCCTTGCTCGTGAGCTACAGCAGCGTGGTCAGCTGCGGCTTGCGTACGTGGCCTCTCAGGCCAACACTGCTGAAATCTTCACCAAGGCACTTGCGCCTTGTGATCATCAGCGCTTCTGTACTCAGCTGGGTCTTGTGCCTACCTTGCCTCACTTGCTCACCCCTTGACCTTGTTTGTACTGTTGCATATATATATACACCTGCTCTTGCTTGTCTAGCCTTATATATATATATCCTGCATGTGAACTGGCCTTGTGGCCTTGAACTTGTGCTCGGAATGTGTGGTGACTTTGTGATCCACCCTGAGCTTGCTTTGCTTTGCTTGACTGGTCTTGTGACCCCTTGTTCTCCCCCACTTTGCCTATGGGGGTGTGTCAGATTTATATGACATAGCTACTGTAGGCTATAGTGGGGTAGCACATATGGGGTACAGTTTTCTAGGGTTTACATTTGTACCCAACTTTCCCTTAGTCAATCCATTCCTCGTTTCTTCTCAAGGACATCCGAGGGTCACGCGACGAACCTGTTCGGCCTAATTCGTCGCACCGAACCACTCCCGGTTCGGCCTCCGCCCCAATCGCAACATGACCGAGCCATCTTCGCCCGACCTCCCTGCCCAGCTAGCATTTTCCCTAAAAAGTCTAGACACTTTCCTTGTATCGTCATTCGGTAGTCAATCATTCTCGTTATTCGATATTTTCCGCACTCTGCAAGTTCATTCATAACAAGTTCCTTCTATAAGAGGCCATTATAATATTTCTCCTTCTAGGTATATCCGCAGATAACCCGATAACCAGACGCCTGCCTAAGATTTCTCAGCAGATAACCCGATAATCAGCAGATCGCGGTAGATCGCCGCACAGCGGCATGAGCATGCCCCCCGCGCGCTCCGGTGCCCACGTGCTGGCCCTCCTGCGCGCCGTGGGCAGGGCGTGTTGGAACCACTCGCCGCTTCCCGCGTCGGCAGCCGCATCCCAGCGCCTCGTCCCAGACCATTCCGGTTCCGCCCCTCGCCGTCCACCCTCTCACCCGCTCGCCTCTCGCCCGTTTCTGTCCCTTCCTCCGCCCGCCCCTCTACTGCTGCCCGCCTTACTCCGCCAACCCCCTGCCCGCCACCTGTGCACCGAGGGGCCTGCGGGCGGCAAGGCGCGCGAGCAGACAGCGGGGCCAGAAGCAGCAGCGGCTGAGGCTGAGGGGGGAATGGCGCAGGGTGCGGGGCAGGAGGCGGAGGGCAGAGTTGGCGGCGAGGGGAGTGCGCAGGAGGAGGAGTGGCGGCGGCAGGCGGAGGAAGCGCGGGAGCGGCTGCTGCGCGCGTACGCGGACATGGAGAACCTGCGCCAGCGCGCCCAGAGAGACGTCGACGCCGCCAGGCTCTTCGCCGTGCAGGTGCCACCCGTGCAGGCGCCACCCGTGCAGGTGCCACCCGTGCAGGTGCAGGTGCCACCCGTGCATGTGCCACCCGTGCAGGTGCCACCCGTGCATGTGCCACCCGTGCAGGTGCCACCCGTGCAGTGCTGTGTGCTGGCAGCACAGGCCGTGCAGTCTGCCTCGTGGCCGTCTTGAATGGGTCGCTCTCTCTTAGCTACGCCGCCTGCCTTGCCTCGCTCTCATACGGCCTCTGCATCCCCGTGGCCTACTGCTTGTGCCACCCACGCTGCTGCCATGCCATGCGCTGCAGCGCTGTGCTCTCATCCATACACCTCCTAACAATGCCTTGCTTCCTGTCATACCCTCTGGGCTACGGTATGGGCGTGGCATGGCATGGGGATGGGCATGGGCGTGGCATGGCATGGCATGGCATGGCATGGGCATGGGGATGGGCTTGGGCGGGGCGTGGCATGGCACGGCATGGCACGGGCGGCAGGGGTTTGCCAAGGGGCTGGCGGACGTGGCGGACAATCTTTCTCGGGCCGCCGCCTCTGCCTCCCTGCCGCCACACCCCGCCTCCCCCGACAGTGGGCAGGGCAAGGGCGGGGAGGGTGGGGGTGGGCGCGACCCGGAGGCGCTGCTGAAGTCGCTGCTGGATGGGGTGGAGATGACGGAGAAGCAGCTCATGCAGGTGCCACCCCACGGCCCTGCATGCACGCCACCCCTTGCAGCTTCCTCTGAAGCTGTGTGTTTGCCATGTACCTGTGTTGCTGTGTGCGTCCATGTGTGTGCGCGCACTTGTATTGTGCGCGCATTCATGTGTGTGAACGTTTGGCTGTGCATGCGTGCATCTGTGCTGGTGCGCGCATGTGTGGTGGTGTGTGGATGTGTGGTGGTGCATGCATGTGTGGTGGTGTGGTGGAGTGAGTGAGAGTGGCACGTGGCAGGTGTTTCGGCAGCATGGCATGGAGCGGCACGACCCGATGGGGCAGCGCTTTGACCCCAACCTGCACAACGCCGTGTTTGAACTCGACGACCCCACCAAGGAGCCCGGCACCATCGCCCACGTGCTCAAGGTACCATCACACCATCGCCCACGTGCTCAAGGTACCATCACACCATCGCCCACGTGCTCAAGGTACCATCACACCATCGCCCACGTGCTCAAGGTACCATCACACCATCGCCCACGTGCTCAAGGTACCATCACACCATCGCCCACGTGCTCAAGGTACCATCACACCATCGCCCACGTGCTCAAGGTACCATCACACCATCGCCCACGTGCTCAAGGTACCATCACACCATCGCCCACGTGCTCAAGGTACCATCACACCATCGCCCACGTGCTCAAGGTACCATCACACCATCGCCCACGTGCTCAAGGTACCATCACACCATCGCCCACGTGCTCAAGGTACCATCACACCATCGCCCACGTGCTCAAGGTACCATCACACCATCGCCCACGTGCTCAAGGTACCATCACACCATCGCCCACGTGCTCAAGGTACCATCACACCATCGCCCACGTGCTCAAGGTACCATCACACCATCGCCCACGTGCTCAAGGTACCATCGCCCACTGCAAGAGACCGATTGTTCATCCTGCTTGCCTGCAATCGCTGCTTGCCTGCAATCGCTGCTTGCCTGCAATCGCTGCTTACCTGCAATCGCTGCTTACCTGCAATCGCTGCCTACCTGTGCGCCTGTGCCCCTGTGCGCCTGTGCCCCGGTGTGTCTGGCAGGTGGGCTACACTCTTCACGGCCGTGTGGTGCGCCCAGCCGATGTGGGCGTGGTCAAGGGCAGTCACGCATAGTCCATGCAGGCGTGGCGATGGTCAGTCAACCGCTGTCAACCCTTGGCCCACTGCCCAGCTGGTCACTGCATGTGGTCACTCTGCTGCTGAGACACATAGGAACCCTAAACCCTGCATGCTGGCAGGCGGCTCAATTTAGCTTAGGAGGGGGTGCAGTGTAATGCAACAAATGCGAATATAGGTGTCAGCCGTTCACACACATGCAATCACGGAATGCAACCAAGATGCGCATCCATCACCTGCAATCACCGTATCCAATCAAATTCACAATCACGATATTCTGTCAACGTGTTGAGGTGTATACGATACGCTGTAGGACACCTAACGAATTGTATGCAAATAATAAAGCAGCCTGAACCAAGACCACGACACGAGCAAACCTCCCCCGTTAGCTTATCACCTTCAATCCAAGCACGTGCGCGACGCTGTTCCACCCACCACCACTCCACAGTTGCTCCCCCGCGTCCCCCCCGCCTGCACACGTTTCTCGCGCTCATCGCCTCGCACTTACCCCGCAGCCCTCACCCACGACGTTCTTCCGCCTGCCTCGCCGGTCGCCTCCCTGCCCCCCGTGGCGCCATGCGACCCCAACTCGTCGCGATCTCGCTCTCTTCCTCGCCCTTCCCGCTCCGCGCGTCTCACGCGCTCGCCTCGCGCTCTCTCGCCCCTACCGCGCCACCCCCGTGCCAATCTCGCTCCTTGCAGTCTTTCGTGCGGCGGCTCGCCGCGTGAGTAGTGGCGCAGGATAGACGGTCGTAGCGCAGGATAGACGGTCGTAGCGCAGGATAGACGGTCGTAGCGCAGGATAGACGGTCCTAGCGCAGGATAGACGCGCGAAACTGCGGATATAAACGCGTCAGTTAGTGTGAAATAGACGCGCGAGGTGCTTCGACGCGCCGCCGCCATGTGGTCGTGCGACGCGCGGTGATTGTCGTTCCCAGTGTGCGACTGCCAGCCTCCTGTGTGCGACAAAATCCAGTGAGCGACAGCCGGCGCGGGGATGGTGGCGAAGCGAACTCGACAGCTGGTTATTGTGAGACGCGTGGCTGCTGCCGCCCCTGTTGCCCCCCTCCACCCGCTCCTGCTCGCACCGCTCTCGCCCGCCTTCATCTGCGCGCACTGCGTGCTGCTGCCGCCTCGCCCTGCTTCTCCATCCATCCCCCTCTCTCCTTCCCTCCGTGCCCTCACTCTCTCGTGCAAGGCCGTTGCTCGCGTTTTCGTGCCATGCACCCTCATCACATGCCGTGTTGCCACATGGTGCCACGTGGCAGGGCGTATTGGCGGGCTGCATCATCACCGCTATCCTCTATCTCTCCGCCGTGCTCCAGGTGCGCGCAGGTGCGCCCAGGTGCGCCCAGGTGTGTCGAGGTGAGCCGAGGTGAGCCGAGGCGCTCCCATACGCTCTGCTTGCATGCTCCGCTGCTATGCTCTGCTGCTATGCTCTGCTGCTATGCTCTGCTGCTATGCTCTGCTGCCCATCATCGAAGTCATCCCTCTCTTTCAACACCCACACCCTTGACTTGCATGTGCCATGGCATGGCATGGCATGGCATGGCATGGCAGCAGCATGTGGGGCAGGAGCGCAGGAGGCCATCAGTGGATCTGGACGCGCGCCTCCACGCCATTGAAGGTCGCCCCCCCATCCCCTTCCTCCCATGTCGCTCACTCCCATTTCGCTCACTCCCATGTCACTCACTCCCATGTCACTCACTCCCATGTCGCTCACTCCCATGTCACTCACTCCCATGTCACTCACTCCCGTGTCGCTCACTCCCATGTCGCTCACTCCCATGTCGCTCACTCCCGTGTCGCTCACTCCCGTGTCGCTCACTCCCGTGTCGCTCACTCCCATGTCGCTCACTCCCATGTCGCTCACTCCCATGTCGCTCACTCCCGTGTCGCTCACTCCCATGTCGCTCACTCCCATGTCGCTCACTCCCATGTCGCTCACTCCCGTGTCGCTCACTCCCGTGTCGCTCACTCCCGTGTCGCTCACTCCCATGTCGCTCACTCCCATGTCGCTCACTCCCATGTCGCTCACTCCCATGTCGCTCACTCCCATGTCGCTCACTCCCATGTCGCTCACTCCCATGTCGCTCACTCCCATGTCGCTCACTCCCATGTCGCTCACTCCCATGTGCCTCCATCCGCGTTGCTGCCACCTCGTGCATCCATCATCTTCACCTTCCCTCCCCCTCTCCCCTTTCCCGCTCTCCGCCCATCCCTTGACCCCTTGCCTGCGCCCCCCTGCCTGCCACCCTGCCTGCGCCCCTGGGTGAGCGCAGAGCAAGTGGCGCGGATGGCAGCGGCGGACGTGGTGGGGGTGGTGAGGGAGGAGGTGGGGCGCGTGGGCGGGCAGGTGGACGCGGTGCAGGCGCTGCAGCGGGCCAGCGCACAGGCAGGAGGGGATAGAGGAGCGGAGCTGGAGGCGCGTGCGAGGGAGGCGGAGGAGAGGGCGGCGCAGCTGAACGAGACCGTGGGGCGCCTGCAGGCTGCTCTCAGGCAGCACAGCGCCACCATCGCTACTCTGCAGGTGGGCTGCACACTGGTTGCCCGCGGGTGGATTCTTTCAACACGCTGCTCCCCTCCACCCTCTCTACCATGCCATTCCATTTCATGCCGTGCCGTGCCATGACCAATACATGCCATGCCATGCTGGGGCACCAATGCATGCATGTGCGCAGGCAGCGGAGCAGGCAGCAGCAGGGGTGGCAGGGAAGGAAGGGGGGAGGCCACTGGGCAGGACGGTGGTGGAGGAGGACCACCCGGGGCGATGGAGGCAACACACCTTCCACCGCACCGGCGCCTATGGCTTCATCCAGTACAGGTGCTCCCTGCACCACCGCGCACGTCGCTTTCACTGCTTGCCACTCCTGCCACCAACCATCTCAACATCCCTTGCGTTCCCAACCCTCCACTACCGCACTCTTCTTCTCCCTCACGCCCCTCACCATCTCTTTCTCTCTCCTCCCCTCGCCCCTCTCTCTCCTTGCCCGTCGCCCCCCCTGGCATGCGTGCATGCAGTGCGTACCGGCTGTCAGCGGCGCGCATAGCGGTGGTGGGGATGGGCGCACTGGGGCTGCGCAGCAAGCGGCGTGTGGAGGGGTGCTGGTGGCACCGCTTGGACGGGCACACAGTGATAGCGGGCAGGCTCACCCAGATGGTGATGGAGGAGCACCACAACTACCTCGTGCGTGCCGGGGGGGGAAAGGGGGGGGGGTGTGGGTGCTTGCTTGAGTGCTGAGCTCACCCAGATGGTCATGGAGGAGCACCACAACTACCTCGTGCGTGCCGGGGGGGGAAAGGGGGGGGGGTGTGGGTGCTTGCTTGAGTGCTGAGCTCACCCAGATGGTCATGGAGGAGCACCACAACTACCTCGTGCGTGCCGGGGGGGGAAAGGGGGGGGGGTGTGGGTGCTTGCTTGAGTGCTGAGCTCACCCAGATGGTGATGGAGGAGCACCACAACTACCTCGTGCGTGCCGGGGGGGGAAAGGGGGGGGGGTGTGGGTGCTTGCTTGAGTGCTGAGCTCACCCAGATGGTCATGGAGGAGCACCACAACTACCTCGTGCGTGCCGGGGGGGGAAAGGGGGGGGGGGTGTGGGTGCTTGCTTGAGTGCTGAGCTCACCCAGATGGTGATGGAGGAGCACCACAACTACCTCGTGCGTGCCGTGGGGGGAAAGGGGGGGGGGTGTGGGTGCTTGCTTGAGTGCTGAGCTCACCCAGATGGTCATGGAGGAGCACCACAACTACCTCGTGCGTGCCGGGGGGGGAAAGGGGGGGGGGTGTGGGTGCTTGCTTGAGTGCTGAGCTCACCCAGATGGTCATGGAGGAGCACCACAACTACCTCGTGCGTGCCGGGGGGGGAAAGGGGGGGGGGTGTGGGTGCTTGCTTGAGTGCTGAGCTCACCCAGATGGTCATGGAGGAGCACCACAACTACCTCTTGCGTGCCGGGGGGGGAGGGGGTTGCATGGGTGCAGAGAGGAGAAAAATTGTTCTCGCATCGCACTTTTTTGTGATTTCGTTTGCTCATCTGCCCCTGTGTTACCCCGTGCTGCCCCGTGGTGCCCCCATGGTTGGCGGCAGTACGAGCTGGTGGTGCTGCAGTGCGTGCTGGAGGAGGAGGTGGAGGAGACGGGCGGGCATCTGCGCATCTTCCTCGACCGCCAAGTGCTCTTCCCTTTCCGAGAAGACACCAAGGAGGTGCGCCACACCACAGGGGTGCGGGCAAGCATGTGAGGCATGTGGGAAGTGGGGCCATGCGACTGTGGGAGTGTGTCCATTTGGAATGACAGTAGGAGGATGAGATCCATGCATGCAGCCATGGTGCTGGACATGGTCATCACCATCTTGACCTCCCCCCCTCCCCCCCTCCCCCCAAGGCAGAAGATAGACAACGGAACGGGCCCCATGCCGTACCGCTTTGCATACTGCGGGCCGCCCATGCACATGGAGATGGAGCAGCGCAGCGTGCAGCAGTTCGTCCACTACCACCGCTACGCCGCCGGCTACGACCACTTCCAGCTCTACGACGCCACCGCTGTCACGCCCGCCCTCACAGCGGCGCTGCAGCCGCTCATGGACGACGGGCTGCTCTCCATCGCTGACTTCCGTGAGGCCTACCAGTTTGACTCGTGGTACTTCTCCCAGGTGACTTCACTTACACCCACTCGCTCCTGCTGCTCCCGTCCCACCTGCCTGCTCGCCTGCCTGCTTTCCTGCCGCTATGCTTTGCCACCGTCCTGTCCCCTCCCGCTCCCGTACCTCGCATTCGCGGTTGCCAGCGCTCAGCCGCTGCCACGTGATCCCCTGCTCCCCTGCGCCAGGCGGTGGCGATGCACGACTGCCTGTACGGCATGCGGCAGCGCGCGGACTGGATTGCCTTTCAAGGTGCACCCCTCCCACCACCCCCCCCCAGGCGGTGGCAATGCACGACTGCATGTACGGCATGCGGCAGCGCGGACTGGATTGCCTTCCACCCTCCCATCCCATCCGCCTTCTCCGCTCCCACCCTCCCCTCTCGCCCCTTCCCCCCGGAAGGCGGTGGCGATGCACGACTGCATGTACGGCATGCAGCAGAGGGCGGACTGGATCGCCTTCCACGACCTGGACGAGTACCTCGCCCTGCCCCCACCCGCCTCCGTGCCCGCACTGCTGCAGCGCTACGCCGCTCTGCCCTACATCACGCTCGGCATGTACGTCTTCAGCGCGCACCTCTGTGAGGAGGGTCCCGAGGACGTGTGGAGCGACGAGGAGAAGCGGTTTGCGGTGGAGCGCATGGTGCAGCGCCGCTCGGCGCCGTACTGCCTGCGCGGGGAGGACGACCCGAAGGTCTGCATCGACTACTACGGCCACCGCAAGATGTTCGTCACCCCCCGCAAGGTCTGCTGCTGCTGCTGCTGCTGCTGCTGCTGCTGCTGCTGCTGCTGCTGCTGCTGCTGCTGCTGCTGCTGCTGCTGCTGCTGCTGCTGCTGCTGCTGCTGCTGCTGCTGCTGCTGCTGCTGCTGCTGCTGCTGCTGCTGCCGCCGTTGCTGCACTCTTGATGCTTTGCTGCAGAATCGTTGCTCTCCATACGAATGAGCGTGCTGAGATTGCCACTGTGTCATGCTGATCGATGGTGGCCATGGGGCGGTGGGCCATGGGTGGGCCATGGGTTGGCCATGGGTGGGGCATGGGTGGGCGGTGATGGGCAGGTGGAGGCGGTGTACGTGCACCTGGTGGAGAAGCCGGCCACGGGCGGGGTGGACCTGAGTGTGGATGAGATGTACTTCGCCCACCTGCGCTCCCTCAATGGCAAGGGAGTGGCGTGCCGCCCGCCCACGGACAAGGAGAACGACCTGCCGCCCGCGGAGCTGGAGAAGTGCACCACCGTGGCCGACACCGCTGCCCGCGCCCGGGAGTGCGCTCAGGAGGGCTTCTCCAACCAGGTGGGCCGGTGGACAGGGCCGAGGGGTCGTTGGGTCCCGCTCTATGATGGGTCTCCTTGCCTCGCCCACCACTGCTGCTACTGCCTGCCCTGTGCGTTGCTGCTGTGTATGCTGTGCCACTCACGCCCCCCACTCCCCTGTGCGCGCTCCCCTGCAGTTCCTGTGCAAGCCCAGAGCCACGCGCTAGCTGCCTCTTCACGCGCCCACCACTTGCTCCACCTGCCGCCGTGCAGAAGTAACCTGCCATGCCCACCTCGTTCCAAGGGGAAGGGGCATGCTTCGAGCAACGCACTCGCTGTGCCATGAGAAGGGAAACCTGATGCTGCTGCCATGCGTGTTGCATGCTGTCATATGCTGAATGCGCTGTTGATGCGGGTGCTTCCATTCACCTAGGTTCCACCAACAATTAACTAGCAGCAGGTCAGGTGTAGTGCAGAGGCACAGCATGGCCACATACACACGTGCCATGTGCCACCTGACTCGTAGCTGCTATTCGTCATTACGTTGCAATAGCGCACAGGTCAGTGAGGTGATACCATGATCTGCACTGTAAGACGGTGATGCTTTTACAAGAATCTAGAGATTCTACAACATGTGACAGACAGCCAATCACTTGACACATTCATGGCCCCTCTACCACACTCACTCAATGCCTCCCTGCCACACTCAACGCTCCTGCCACACTCAACGCTCCTGCCACACTCAACGCTCCTGCCACACTCAACGCTACTGCCACACTCAACGCTCCTGCCACACTCAATGCCTCCCTGTCACCCCACCACACTGGGTGAAGGCGGGGATCACCACCCATTAATCGTCCTGCATGGCGAGGAACCTGCTTCATGTACAGTAACCCCATCTCTCAACCCTTAGCTCTCTGCTCGCATTGACTCTGATATTACTCCTAGTTGGAGCTAGAGTTAGTGTGCTCATTGACGTATGGTCAGCGTGGCTTATCTTTTATCTTGCTTAAGGTAAGAGCATTTATTCATCACTTGGTAACATCCGTCCCACGATCGGAACCCAAGTAGGCAAGCTGGTATGTCCGGAAGTAACGCTGGTGTTTTGTGAGCTCTGGGCAAGCTCTGCCGCTTCCCCACCCCTGCCACCAGCCAGAGGGCAGGTTCAGCATGCTGTGTACATAGCACGATGGAGAAAGAGGTACATGTAACGAGGCACCAGCCTCATTCCCGCGTGTGGCGGATGGTATCTCAGTGCGTTCTGGTTCTTTGTGGGTTCCTTTCACTTTCCAGGTGTGAAATATAAAACTCGGCTGAATGCGGAAGTATAATTGCAGGAAACTATCAGAACACGCCAAAAAGGAAAAACACGGCACTATCTATGGGGGTATGGCCCCGTTTACCTAGTACACGTAGCCCTTCACGTGAAGGCTCTCGGTGGCGGCAGCGGAGGCGGCGCCGCCGGCGTACTTGCCGAGGGTGGCTTCGGAGTTGCTGCGCGCGCGCGTGGTGAACACCTCTTGCGCCGCCTTGAGGTTCTCCTCCTTGCCCTGCCACGTGGCGAGCGTGCTCTTCTGCAGCGCGCGGCCGTACGAGAAGGACAGCGTCCACGGCTTCTTGGTGTCCAGCTGGTTCATGGCGTTCAGGTTCACCGTCGCCTGCTCCTCGCTCTGCCCGCCAGACAGGAACATGATGCCGGGCACAGCGGCGGGCACGGTGCGCTGCAGCGCGCGCACGGTGAGCGCGGCGATGGTCTTCTCGTCCACCTTGGGCCCGTCGGAGCCGGGCGACACCATGTTGGGCTTAAGCAGCGACCCCTCCAGCAGCACCTTCTGCTCGCTCAGCGCCTTGTACGTCGCCGCCAGCACGAGCTCCGTCACCTCGGCGCACTTCTCGATGGTGTGCGAGCCGTCGGTCAGGATCTCGGGCTCCACGATGGGCACGAGCCCGTTCTCCTGGCAGATGATGGCGTACCGCGCCAGGCCCTGCGCGTTCAGCTGGATCGCCAGCTCCGACGGCTCGTTCGCGCCGATCTTCAGCACCGCGCGCCACTTGGCGAACCGCGCGCCCGCCTTGTAGTACTCGGCGCAGCGCGCGCCGAGTCCGTCGTGGCCCTGCGTGGTGGTCTCGCCGTTCGTGCCCGCGATATCGACGGTGCCCTTGTCGACCTTGATGCCCGGCAGCACGTCGTTCTCGATCATCAGGTCAACAAACAGCTTGCCGTCCGACCCCTTCTGGTACAGCGTCTCCTCGAACAGAATCACGCCGCTCAGGTACTGCATCGCACCGGGCGCGGTGAACAGCAGCTCACGCAGCGCGCGGCGGTTTGACTCAACATTCTCGACATTGATGGCGCTCAGGCGCTTGCCGATGGTTCCAGTGCTCTCATCCGCCGCCAAGATACCCTTTCCTGGGGTCGCGATCTTCTTGGCGTTGGCAATCAGCTCCTCTGCAGTACAGCAAGGTAGAAAAAAGGTAAGTCAACCGAACTCAAGTCATTCGTTTCTTGTTGAATTCAATCAAGCTAAATGTTTGTGCAAGATCCGGCTAGCACGCAAGAATCAACGGTATCAGAGAAGCTCTGACCATGTGCTTTAGCAGAACTGGCAAACACCTCAAGAGATCGCAATATCGTACCTGCGTACTTGCCGTTGTAGGCGGCCATGGCTCTACAAATCTGAGAGTGAAGACGAGATGAGAGCTGACGAGAAATTACAGAAAGGGAGCTTGGTAATGAAATCTGGGAGGCTGAATTGAGGAGAATAGGAGACGGACGGGAATTTGAAGCACAAGAATCGGCCTTCGCAGGCGGGAGTTTGGGGGAGCACGACAGCGCGGCATGCCACGTGCAGAAAGGCATGCGATGATGTGGACGAACCAAAAGGTTTTTTTCTCCTCGGCTTCCGCGCCAGCTCAGACAAACCCCAGATCCGAGCACTTCGGAATGGAATCCTGCTAAACGCCAATTGCGCAGGGTCGTGCTGGCACTAAAAATATCGCCGCGCGGCGCACAACCATTCGGCCTCCCCTGTCTCTGGATGACCCACGGGAATGCGGCCCGCTGCTGGCATCCACCTTTGCACAGTGACTCCCAATTGTCCGTAATGTGCCTCCTCCAACAGAATACACCGTTCGATACCCCGTTGTTTTGTGTTTACGTAGCATCGAGGCCACCATTGACGCGTACTGAACCCCCACCCCGCTTGACGCAAGTATACAACTCCAAGGGCGGGTCAGACTTGATGTGTTTATGGTTCGTATATCACTGTGGTTGGGAGCGTTACAAAGCGGTGAAATTCACAAACCGCGGTAGAGAGCACAACATCGTACTCAACCGCCTTTAATGAACTGTAAACAAACTGTGCCTGACCCGCCCGAGCCCTAATTTTTGTTCCCTCGCACGTTCCGTGCGTGTCAGGCATTTGTTCACTGTGAGGCGCCTCGTAGCTCATTCGAAGAGACTGGTTCAGCAAGACTACGATACCAAGGATACCGTCCTGTTCCGTTCACTGGATAGTACTAAGAGCAGTTTATTCTGCTTCTCCGTTCTCGTCGTTGTACTTTGCGTGTCGTTCTCAGTCCCAGCAACCGTTATTTATCCATCCAACCACCATCACTCTAGTTCCGACCGCGCGGCAATGAGGGGGAGCTCGGGGGTGAAGCGGGTGGGCAAGTACGAGCTGGGGCGGACGCTGGGCGAGGGCAACTTCGCCAAGGTGAAGTTGGGGCAGGACGTGGAGAGCGGGCGGCGCGTGGCGATCAAGGTCATGGACAAGGACAGGATTCTGCAGCACAGGATGGTGGACCAGGTGACGCCGCCACTCCCGCTCCGCTCTCCTCGTCGCGCCGTTTGATGCCTTCCTGACTGCGCTCCGCGTCGCCGGCATTTGAACGCGACGCCGCGTTCATGACGGCGTTCGCGCAAAGCCGTTGTCGCGCCTCGCCACGCGTCACTCACAACCGGCTCTCCTCCGTTTCCGTGTGTTGCTCAGATAAAGCGCGAGGTCTCGATAATGAAGATGGTTCGCCATCCCAACATCGTCCAGCTTATCGAGGTAACGCGTATATGGATGGAGGTACCGTCGAGCTCGAGCCCTATCATCCTTGAGTTAATGAGCTAACGCGATTCCTAGGGTCGGAACTTGAGAAGCGCCACGTCACCCAGCCGTTGCCCCCTGTCTCTCCGTGCCGCCCCGTGCATGCCGGCCGGCAGGTGCTGGCGTCGCGCAACAAGATCTTCATGGTGCTCGAGTTCGCGGCGGGCGGCGAGCTCTTCGACCGCATCGTCAGTGCGCGCGCCCTCCCCCTCGCGCTGCCTCCACGCTCGCCCGCACCCCCTCACCCCTAGCCTTCACCCCCGCACCATTGCCCGTCGCGCGGTTTGTCAGTCTTTGCCATCCACTGTGTCGCGCAGTCGCCCTCCTCGTTGCTCGCAGCTCACCCGCACTCTCCTTTCCCCCACCTGCGATCTCCGCCCCATGCGCGCCTTCCGGCGGGGTTTCCGTGGTGTGTGCGCGCGCGCAGGTGTACCGCGGGCGGCTGGCGGAGAGCGAGGCGCGGCGGTACTTCCAACAACTCGTGGACGCCGTCGACTGCTGCCACGCCAAGGGCGTCTGCCACCGCGACCTTAAAGTGTGTCGTTTATTTTATTACTTCCTTTTTCCTTATGCGGTTTCTGCTTTCCCAGTCCCGCCATTCTCTGCGTCGACTTCACCACTTGCACGGCACTTTCCTACCTCTCATTCTCCTGCTCCCTCTCATTCTCCTGCTCCCTCTCATTCTCCTGCTCCCTCTCATTCTCCTGCTCCCTCTCATCTCATCCCACTCTGTGCGTTGCATGTCGTGGCGTGGCATGGCGTGCATGGGGCGGCATCAGCCGGAGAACCTGCTGGTGGACGAGCGCGGCAATCTCAAGGTGTCGGACTTTGGGCTGAGCGCCCTGCCCCAGCAGCAACACCGTGACGGGCTGCTGCACACCACCTGCGGCACGCCCAACTACGTCGCCCCCGAGGTGCGCCCCTCCCGTCCTCATGTCATGCCCCCCGCCCGCTCCCCCTGCGCTGCTGCTCTTTCCTGCTCCCCCTGCACTGCACCCGCCCAGTCAACACCCGCCACCCATCCCACTTCACTCGTCCGCCGCCTTCTTGCGTGCCCTGCTTGCCCCCGCGTGCCCCTCTGCTCCGCTTCCCCTCCTCCCAGGTGCTGCACAACAAGGGCTACGACGGGCGCAAGGCGGACGTGTGGTCGTGTGGCGTCATCCTCTTCGTGCTGCTCGCCGGCTACGTGCCCTTCGATGAGCCCGACCTCGTGCTGCTCTATGACAAGGTGCGTGCTGCTCTAAGGTGCGTGCCGCCATGATTCGAGCCTCTGCACTCATGCCTGCTGCACACCTGTTGCTCATGCATGCTCTCACACCCGCTGCATGCTCTCACACCCGCTGCATGCTCTCACACCCGCTGCATGCTGCCATGGGATGGGAAACCAGCCCCCTCCTGCATGCGCAACTGCCTTCCCTCTATTAATACAACAACGCTCTTCCCTCTATTAATACAACAACGCTCTTCCCTCTATTAATACAACAACGCTCTTCCCTCTATTAATACAACAACGCTCTTCCCTCTATTAATACAACAACGCTCTTCCCTCTCCCTTTGCCTCCCTCCCCTCCCTCTCTCCATCTCCCCCCCCACACCACCAGATATCCCGAGCGCACTTCAAGTTCCCCGAGTGGTTCTCCCCCGGGGTGAAGCGCCTCATCACGCGCATCCTCAACCCCGACCCCACCACTGTATGCCGCCCCCCTTGACCCCGCCACCGTATGTATGCCGCCCCCCTTGACCCCGCCACCATATGTATGCCGCCCCCCTTGACCCTGCCACCGTATGCCGCCTGCCCTCCCCACCCCCCGTTCCTGCTCTTCCTACATGTCCCCCTGTTCCCTCGCCCCAGACCCCATCCGTGCGTGCTAACTACCATGTGCCATCTCTCACCGCCACGTCTTCCACCGCACGCCCTCATGCTCCCGCCAACCCTTCTTCCGCCCCTCTCTTTCCCATTCTCCTCTGCCCCCCCCCCCACCTTTCTCCACACTCTCCTCTTTCCCGCCCCACCTTTCTCTCTCTGTGCCGTGGCAGCGGCCAGGGTTGGAGGCGATACGGAGGGACGAGTGGTTTCAGCGCGACTACCAGCGCGCCTACCCGCTGCCCGATGACACTGAGGGGGCGGGGGGCGCTGAGGACGTGCTGCTGCATGCACGGGTGAGAGGAGAGGGGGGGAAAGAGGGGGGGATGGGGGGGGGGGAGTGGCAGGGGGAGAGGGGGGCGAGGGAAGGGACGGGATGGAAAGGGGCAGAGGGAGGGTGGCATGGTGGTGGTGGTGGATGCGCGGATAGGAAATGCGCTGTGTGCTGTGCCATGCCCTCGCCCTGCCCTGCCCCCATTCCTCTTGCTTACTCCTCAAGCTCCGTCCATCCCCATTCCTGCCCATGTCCCGCTGCCCTCTCGTGTGCTTGTGAGCTCCCCCCCCCCAACCAGCTGCACCCGGTGGCAGAGCTGTCTGTGCGAGTGCCGCACTCGCCCTCCCTGCAGGCCTCGCTGCCTGTCTCCCTCAGCCCGCGCACCACTGCAGCAGCGGCACCACCAGCAGCGCTGGGTGGTCGTGAGGCACAGGCAGGGGTGGCGCAGGAGGGGCGGGCAGGGGGTGCAGGAGAGGGGGGTGCAGGAGCGGGGGGTGCAGGAGCGGGGGCAGGGGAGGAGGGGCCGGAGTGGGTGAACGCGTTTGACCTGATAGCACGGGCACACGCGCTGGACTTGGGGGCGCTCTTCCACCGCCGCGCCCACCCCGTGCTGCGCCACACCCGCTTCGCCTCGCGCCTGCCTCCCGCCCTCATCCGCTCTCGCCTCCTCGCCCTCGCCCCCGCCCTGCACGCCCACGCCCACGCCAACCTCTTCAAGGTGCCGTGCAGGGGGCGAGGGCTGTAAGGCACGGGGGAAGGGGGGGAAATAGAGAACCCGGTGGGAGCCAGGCTGTGTGGCGAGAGGTGGTCGGCGGGAGATGAATGCTCTGCCTTGCCCTGCGCTTTGCCATCTGCCTTGCCATCTGCCTTGCCATCTGCCTTGCCATCTGCCTTGCCATCTGCCTTGCCATGTGCTTCGCATCTCCTGCACTCACCCCTTGTGCCCGCCCTCTTATCTGTGACCTTCATCACCTCATGTGACCCCAATCACCTCATGCGGCGGTGCTGCTGTGGGCGGCACATGGCAGATTCGGTTGGAGCGACCAGCAACAGCACAAGGGGGGCACCTCACCGTGGTCATTCAGGTATCTGCTCATGTTCATGCCTCATGCCTCATGCCTCATGCCTCATGCCTCATGCCTCATGCCTCATGCCTCATGCCTCATGCCTCATGCCTCATGCCTCATGCCTCATGCCTCATTCCTCATGCCTCATGCCTCATGCCTCATGCCTCATGCCTCATGCCTCATGCCTCATGCCTCATGCCTCATGCTCATGCCCATGCTCATGCTCATGCTCATGCTCATGCTCATGCTCATGCTCATGCTCATGCTCATGCCCATGCTCATGCTCATGCCCATGCTCATGCTCATGCTCATGCTCATGCTCATGCTCATGCCCATGCCCATGCCCATGCTCATGCTCATGCCCATGCCCATGCTCATGCTCATGCTCATGCTCATGCTCATGCTCATGCTCATGCTCATGCTCATGCTCATGCTCATGCTCATGCTCATGCTCATGCCCATGCTCATGCTCATGCCCATGCCCATGCCCATGCTCATGCCCATGCCCATGCCCATGCCCATGCTCATGCTCATGCTCATGCTCATGCTCATGCTCATGCTCATGCTCATGCTCATGCTCATGCTCATGCTCATGCTCATGCTCATGCCCATGCCCATGCCCATGCCCATGCCCATGCCCATGCCCATGCCCATGCCCATGCCCATGCCCATGCCATGCTCATGCCCATGCCCATGCTCATGCTCATGCTCATGCTCATGCTCATGCTCATGCTCATGCTCATGCTCATGCCCATGCCCATGCCCATGCTCATGCTCATGCTCATGCTCATGCTCATGCTCATGCTCATGCTCATGCTCATGCTCATGCTCATGCTCATGCTCATGCCCATGCCCATGCTCATGCCCATGCCCATGCCCATGCCCATGCTCATGCTCATGCTCATGCTCATGCCCATGCCCATGCCCATGCCCATGCCCATGCTCATGCTCATGCTCATGCTCATGCTCATGCTCATGCTCATGCTCATGCTCATGCCCATGCCCATGCCCATGCCCATGCCCATGCCCATGCTCATGCTCATGCTCATGCTCATGCCCATGCCCATGCCCATGCCCATGCCCATGCCCATGCTCATGCTCATGCTCATGCTCATGCTCATGCTCATGCATGCCCTCCCATGCCCTCCCACGCACTCCCACGCACTCCCATGCCCGCAACTGTGCCGCGCGCGTGTGTACCGTGCTTGAAAGCATGGGGCTGCAGCACAGAGAAACTGTTCCTCCGCCCCCCATTGTGTTGCTGTCCCATCTCCATCACACGCACCACTCGCATCACACGCACCACTCGCATCACACGCACCACTCGCATCACTCGCACCACTCGCATCACTCACACCACTCGCATCACACGCACCACTCGCATCACACGCACCACTCGCATCACTCGCACCACTCGCATCACACGCACCACTCGCATCACACGCACCACTCGCATCACTCGCACCACTCGCATCACAAAACCACTCGCATCACACGCACCACTCGCATCACACGCACCACTCGCATCACTCGCACCACTCGCATCACTCGCACCACTCGCATCACATGCACCACTCGCATCACTCGCACCACTCGCATCACTCGCACCACTCGCATCACACGCACCACTCGCATCACTCGCACCACTCGCATCACACGCACCACTCGCATCACACGCACCACTCGCATCACACGCACCACTCGTCGCATCACACGCACCACTCGCATCACTCGCACCACTCGCATCACACGCACCACTCGCATCACTCGCACCACTCGCATCACATGCACCACTCGCATCACTCGCACCACTCGCATCACACGCACCACTCGCATCACACGCACCACTCGCATCACACACACCACTCGCATCACACACACCACTCGCATCACACGCACCACTCGCATCACTCGTACCACTCGCATCACACGCACCACTCGCATCACACGCACCACTCGTCGCATCACACGCACCACTCGCATCACTCGCACCACTCGCATCACACGCACCACTCGCATCACACGCACCACTCGCATCACTCGCACCACTCGCATCACACGCACCACTCGTATCACTCGCACCACTGGCATCACTAGCAAAGTCACTTCATGTCTTGTCTGTCGTTGCGGTGGGGTGGGATGCGGTGCAGATATTTGAGATGACAGCGGGGGTGTTCATGGTGGAAGCACGCAAGGCTGCTGGCGACACCCTCGAATACCACAAGGTCAGCAAAGCCTCCTAACCCCTCCTCGCCCCTCCTCTCCACTCTTCCCTCCTCAACGCCCCCTCTCGCCCCTCCTTGCCCCTCCTCGCCCCGCCTCGCCCTCCACGACCACAAGTTTGTCAGTAGGCTACTGCGGTCGCCCTCACGTGTAGCGAGGTTGTTTTTGAGACGTCTCAAAAACTACTGCGGTCGCCCTCACCCCTCTCCTCTCTATGAAGCTGACTTGGTAGCTTGAGCATGCACGCCACTCGCCGCACCTTCTGCCTCTCCACCAGCTGGCCCCTCCGCAGCATGAGAGCATGAGCGGGCAGCCAATGAGTACACTGAAAGCGTGCTTCTGTGTTCTGCGTGTGGGTGGGTGGGTGGGTGGGTGTGTGTGAATGCCATGTGTGCTGCGCATGTGCCTCTCACACACCACTCTGCAGCTCTATCGCAGTCTAGTTGCACGGGCAAAGGACCTGGTGTGGCACCCAGACGCCGCTGCCTCCCTGCCAGCCTCACCACAGGCGCCACTCGCAGTGCCGCCACCACTGGCATCCGACAGTCCTGCAGCAACCACGGTAGCAGCAACAACAGAAACAGCAGCAGGAGGGGCAGCAACAGTGCCAACAGCAACAGCAACAGCACCAACAGCAACAGCAGCAGGTGGTAGTGACGTGAATGAAGGAACAGTAATGAGCAGTGGGAATGTAGAAGAGCCACAAGGGCACATGGAGGAGAAGCACAGAGGCTCACCCACCACCATGCATTCTACAGGATGTGTGGTTCCAACAACAAACAGCAGGCGTGGTTTCTCAGGCTGACAAACATATTCTGTGATGTATGTTGTTGCAGTTTGTGTGTAATATAGTGTTACTCTGTGTGCATATCATTTTGTAATGGTTGTCATAGTGTAAGGGAATTTCTCGCTGTTCCTTACTACGACCGTCAACATCGCGTACAGCCGCAACCGCTGTTCGCCCGTTACTGCTGACGGGGCTTCGCCAACTTCGCGCGCACTGTTTCACCAAACCTCGCACTGCTGGAGCAGCCGAGTCGGCCTATGCTTTGGGACTAGCCCGAACCTCGCGCCAGCGTAGCACTAGCTAGCTCGCACGCACCGCGTTACCGTTTGCATGTTTCGCGTATAAGTATTCGTTCATGCTTTCGTTCATACTGTGTACTCATTGAACACTCTAGTGCAATCCTCGCTACCTCGATTCATTGCACCCGTAACACTTGGTTACCAGAGCCACTTTCTTTCAGACCGCGCATCTCCGCACCCCAGGAAATCAACTTTTGATTTTTTCACTCGAAGGGACTCACGCCCCTTAGCAACTAGGAGCCGCTGTCCTCGCGTTCTCTCGTAAACGCGTGCAGCCACGACTGCGCCTAGATTAAGCTGAGCCGACGCCCTTCGACATGGCCGAACACATTGACGTCACAAGCCTCACGCAAGAGCGCTTGAACGAACTGCTGCAGCAACTTCGCGAAAGCTCTGAAGAAATCGCGGCACTGACGGCAGAATGCACGTCCCTGTAGAATGACGTCGCACGAGCACAGCAAGCACAATCACAAGCACCTGGCACTCCGGGACAACCTGCACCACAAGCATCGCAGCACGGAAGTGTGGGGCAACCCGCGAGCGCGGCCAGTGATGGCGTCGTCCGCAACGACAGAGACGACGACCACGGCACGACACACCCCGACACGACGAATGCGGCCAGGAGTCAACCCCGCGTAACGATTTCTGTGCCGGCCGGCGAATCAACACTGGCGTCGCCGATGCCGCTGAAGCCGCAGCATCCGCCATGCTTTGACCCGAGTCAATGGGGTGGTCCTACCGTTCAGGCGTGGTTGTTCACGTTGAACATTTTCTTCGACGCCAACTACGTCTCGGAGGATACGGCGAAAATTCGCTACGCCGTGTCGCTGCTGCGAGGACCCGCCATGGATTGGTGGCTCGTCATCGTCACGAAGCCGATGGACTACGCGACTCTACCGACACGGGAAGGACAAACCGGACCTTGGGCGCCGTCGTATTTCGTGGAGGTGCCCCAATATCGCACGTGGGACGCGTGGTGCGCAGGTCTGCGCGCCCGATTTGAGCCAATTGCGGCTTCGATCGCGGCGCGTCAGAAGCTCCGCACTTGGCGCCAACCCGATTCCGTCCAAGATTACACCAGCGAGTTTCTAGCGATGTGTGAGCAGGTGGGCTACATGCACGAATCTGAGCGCATCGACCGCTACATGGGCAGCCTGAAGCACGACATTGCTCAGGAAATCCAGCTCCGCGGCGTCACCGACTTCCAGGAGATTCTCGCTATGGCGGAGAAACTCGATTTTTTTCCGTCGACCAAGACCGGGGTCCTACGGAAGTAGCAACAACTGGGGACATCGATCTCGTGGGACGAACGAGGGCGCTACGATACGTGCCGTCGCCGCAAATGCCGCTGCCGCACCGTTCAAGGGGC